AGCATGAAGGATCTGGCGCTTTGAGAGGTGAATGGCCTAGCCTTTGGCCTGAAGTGACATAGTCTTGTAGGCCTCGCGCGTTCGGGTGACGACCTCCTACCACCACCACTACTACTCTCGGGCTCTTCGAATTACGTAAAAGATAAGACGGCCTGGAAAGGCGTAGCCCTGTAGGCCTGGCGCTTTAGGCCGTGGATGGCCTGGCCTATGACCCAGCAATGGCATTGCATCGTAGGCCCGCACGTGGGGGTGACAGCCACGACCATCCACCACCGCAGCTTTTGACCTCTTCAAATCAAAGTATTAGATGATGGCTTGGAAAGGCGCAGCCTTGTAGGCCTGGCCTATAACCCAGAATGGTCTTGCATCGTAGGCCCGCGCGTTGGGGGTCACGACCACGACCACCTCCACCACCGCAGCTTTTGACCTCTTCGAATTAAAGTATTAGATTCTAATATAAATATATTTTCTTCGCATGCCGCTGGCTGGAATGAAAGCTCTTTGAGAAGGGTTTAGCTGGAATGATGACGTGCAGCGCGTCGTTAGGAATTTATGAAAAAGCCTAACGATGACAGAAGCTATTGTAATTGGACGGAAATCACTTGGGTTCACTGGCTTGTCTTTTTTAGGGATCAAAGAAGTCTGATGGTGTTTGAAAACTTCAGGAAGGTAGCCAGCGAATAACCAGAGATTATATAGTTTTAGCAAGAGGTTTTTTTTGCAGATTTTTCAGATGTTTAACAGTAACACCATCAGGTCCTGGGGCAGAATTTTTCGTCTTTTTCAGATGGTTCTCCAGTTCTTTTATTTTAATAGGGTAAAGTAATTCAACTTTCTCACTTATGGGAGTTACTGGCCTAGATTCCTCTTCTTTGGGTGATTCAAATACATTTTTCCAAAAGGCAGTCAAGGAATCGGTTTGTACTTCAGGTGACATGGATGGTTTTTCCCAAGAGCCATCTAGACACATTTGGTCCTGTTCTTTTGGTAAAGTTGTTGTACGTATTTGTAATTTTCTCGGTGTTTCATTCTATTACTTTTATTTGAGGATATTACCTTGGTGTTCTCAGGATTTCTCTTCTTGGATTTGGTTTTTTGGGGGCATGAGTAAGAGCTTTGCGTGGGCTTCACGTTGATTTGTTATATTTCTGTTGTCGATGTCTAAAATGATTTGGTCTAGAAAGGATTCCCCCCATTCCCAGGTCCTACTGGGAGTTGTTTGAATGAATAGATTTTTCCAACACTCCTTGACTTGGTCATTTGTATTACTTCTGTATTCTGGGATGTATTACTTTTTAAAGCAAGTGGTGGATTAGGAGGATGTTTAAAGCGTTGAAGACTAATGAGAGCTAATTTCGTTTTCCATGTTTTTGCGCAAAAATAACAGACAACTCCCATTGTAACCGTACCAGTAAGAGAAGCAGCATTTAAAGTGTTTGAGTTATTGGTCCTATGAACGTTATCCGATAGGGTTACTCTGAGGAGCGCGCCTGAGACGGACAGATTTGTGTTTGAGCGTGCCATTTTCGAATATAAGTAGAACAATGTGAACAGTAGCCGCCTATACTTCTCACCATGATGAGCCCCCCGCCGCAATGGGGCGTATAGAGAGCCATTTCCCGAAGGTCAGGGGGAGTTGTTTTACTAGATGTTGCCATTTCCGAGGCGGCCTAGAGCTGAGGAAAAGGACACTTCCAACTCACGAGATCAATCAGCCTACCCCTCCTAAGTCGGAACAAAGGCAGAGGCATCCTTTTGACCCCACACCAGAAGATATAAATCCTCCCTATTCAGATCCAGACACACTTCGAAAGTTGATGAGGAGCTCTTAGCCTGAGGTGTAAGATTAACACCACAGTTACCAACTCTCGCCACGTAGAGGCGTCTCCTCAAGAGAGTCATAGTTACTCCCACCGTTTACCCGCGCTTAAATGAATTCCTCCACTTTGACCTTAAATTTGTAGATTTGTTCCTAGTTGGATCTCTTGGTTGGCCATTAATCGCACCTCTTCATTAGACCATCTAGCTTTTATTCTGGTCGTTGAAATCTCGGACTTGAAATTCTCTGGGTGGGTTCGTTTCCGATGAAGACAGAGACCCGGTTTTGGTGGTGAAGGATCTTTTACATTCGAGACATTTTAAAGACTGGGATGTTGAGGATTCAGCGACCGTTGGTGAAATCGGGACCTGCGTTATTCCTTTGGATGGACATTTCTTAAAGTGACTGGCTACTCTGTGGATGGAGGGATGGAATTGATCAACACGAATCGGATCGCGCGGGACTGCGAGAGCCCTGCGCTTCCAGCGAGAAGGGTGACCCGGGATCGGGCCGCTCTCCGCTACACCGAGTAAGTAAAGAAACGATGAAAGTAGTGGTATTTCACTGTTGAACCGAAGTTCTCCCACTTATGCTACACCTCTCATGTCTCTTCACAAAGCCAGACTAGAGTCAAGCTCAACAGGGTCTTCTTTCCCCGCTGATTTTTCCAAGCCCGTTCCCTTGGCTGTGGTTTCGCTAGACAGTAGATAGGGACAGTGGGAATCTCGTTAATCCATTCATGCGCGTCACTAATTAGATGACGAGGCATTTGGCTACCTCAAGAGAGTCATAGTTACTCCCGCCGTTTACCCGCGCTTAAATGAATTCCTTCACTTTGACCTCCAGAGCACTGGGCAGAAATCACATCGCGTCGAAGCCCGCAGGGGGACGCGCGATGCTTTGTTTTAATTAGACAGTCGGATTCCCCTGGTCCGTGCCAGTTCTGAGTTGGTCGCTTGTTGCCGGCCGAAACGACGCAAGCAAGTCGCCCCACAAGCGCCGCCTAGCTAGGACGTTCCGCGGATGCACCCCGACGCTAGTCCGAGCAGAGGCCCCCGAGAGAGCCCCGCCCAGTCCGTGTACGGGGCCACGACCCGTTTCCCGTCCAAGCCCGACCGGCCCGACCCTCAGAGCCAATCCTTATCCCGAAGTTACGGATCTGGCTTGCCGACTTCCCTTACCTACATTGTTCTATCGACTAGAGGCTGTTCACCTCGGAGACCGGATGCGGATATGGGTACGAGCCGGCACGAAGGTGTGCATCCCTCCCCCTGGATTTTCAAGTCCCAGACCGGAGCGGCGCGGACGCCGCAAGAACCGCGGCGCTCTTCGGGGCCAAGACCCTCTCTCCGACCGACCCGGTTCACAAGGCCCTCGGCCCCTTAACCAGAAAAGACAACTCTTCCCGGCCCTCCGGTCAGGATTC